GGTGACTCCTGCACAGGGGCAGGAAGGACAGCAGAGGAAACCAATTTCTTAAAGTGCTCTCCTCTATCTGCCAGAGTTGTGCCTATAAATAATATCTACACTGCACATTTGTCTTGGGTTAAACCCAAGTTTAACCTGGGACTCACAGCAAAGCATCTGCATCGTGTTAGAAGAGCACCCAACTTCACCCCTGGCTTTATGCTCACGGGTTTGGCATTTGCCTGCATGTGTCCCGCCCCCGCTTGGGCTTGCGGGCTCCAGGGATCTTTCCCAAGCAAATGTCCCCAGCAGAGGAGAGCTGGTCTGTCCTATGATGGGAACCCCGGGAAGAGCTTTGGAGGATTATCGGCCTTACCAGTAATTTAGACTGCAGCCTCACAAAAGCTACCAGGGAAACGCAGTCTGAGTTGAAGAAGGACTTTTATCTCGTCTGCAGACATCCCAGGAAAGCTCGTTTTGATGCAAGTACTTCTAAACCCACAGAAATCTGTGACCTAGTTGGACGAGTGGAGGCTAGGAGGCAAGGCCAGGAGAAGCCTCCTTCACCTGCGGCACAGCCATGCCCGCGAGCACCTGGCAGATCAGAGAGACAAACTTGTTTCCTGGAGTTACACTGCTGCATCGCTTCTCCCATCCAGAGGGGTTTTAAGGGTAAACGTTGGGCCTAAACGCTGCCTTGCTCCTGAGCAACTGAGGCAAAAACGAAGGAAACTGGGTTTCTATCTTCTGGCTCTGCCTTTTACAACCAAGCAGGATTTCTAGTCTTGGCCAGCAGGTCTGGTGTAGGGGCTACGGGAAGGCGAGCTCCACGGGCACTGCAGCACGGTACAGACCTGCCCGGCTTGCGGCGTAGCCAGCTCCTAACTGTGCCAGAAACAGGTACTCTCATAAAAAGCATACTGACCTGAACTCCGTAACCCTGCCCTTTACTAAAACTTCATTTAATCTGCTATTAGTCTCCCTGCGAGCTCTTTATAAACAAATGACTCTTAATTAGCAGGGTGTTTTGTTATGGTGCTGGCTGGGGGTGAATCCTCAGGCCATGCTTTAAACACCTCAGATCACTCCGGCAGATAATCGCATCCCAACTTGTCTGGGCATGGCATCGATTTCATCATTTTTTGTACAAAATCAATTAATCCGATCTTTGCAATTTTGGCATAAGCTCACTAAAGACGGGAACGCTCTGTCTTCTCCTGCGCTTGCAACTTGTACGATCAAAGCCGATTTTTACCGAGGTAGCGAAGCAACGCCCTGACGGCAGCCAGCTTTTGCGCCACGTTATCTGCACCACCTTTCTGACGCGGCACCTTTCTGAATCGCACCCGTTGCGAGGCCTTAGTCATCCATCCTTCGGAGCGCGCGTGTCTGCCGCCGCGAAGCAGGCACGCGCCGGGACGCCGGCGGAGCAGGCAGCAAAGCGCGGACCCGCCACCCCTCG